TGGTCAGCGTTGGTGCAGAGTGTCAGGTGAGCCGCATCCCGGTGCGTCAAAGTAGCCCGAGTCACGAGAGGCCAGTGGGCGGATGCTTGGCGTCCACGGCTCGCGTTTTTAACAGCTAAAGTTGGAAAATGTTAAGCGTTGACTTCTGTTCTATGTTATGCACTTCCAGGGTGTATAGGAAGCACGGCGACAGGGAACCTCGGTCTCCAGGGTAAAGTTGATTGCCTATTTAAGGAAGGGAGAAAAGACGCCTGCAAGTGCATAGTGGCTGGGGAAACTAAGGCTGCAAGTGCAGGTGACTTTCATTCTGCAGATAGGATGCTGTTTGCGAGTATTGGTCACGGGCTGTGTTGTTCAGCGATTGCCCGTGGCCAATAGGTTCATTTGAAACTTGGACTCGTAATGAATAGGAACATTTTGGATAGAGCCAGCTACTTCATAAGAGGAATTGAAGTTAGCACAGAAACTACCGCTTTGTTACATGCTTTTTGGTCCGTTTCACGAGTGTTGTACTCAGGGGAGGCAAGTTGTCACTTGGAATTTTGTGCTATTAGCTTAATTTCGGTAGCACAGACTGGAGGCCAAGCTACGTAAGCCTCTGAGAAATTGCTTCTCTCTGAAGGTTTGCTATATTGTCACTGATAAAACCTGAAAGCAATCCAGAAACATTGTCCACAGCCTTTATACGAATTGATGGGAGGCCTGCAAAATTCAGTTACCTATAGGTTAGGAATTATTTCTATGATAGCCTTGTAATCAAGCAAGCAAAGCAATTTTTTTTTTAAGGATGTAGAAAAAAGCGTGCTGCTTCTGTTTGGTGTAATACTGATATGCAGCTGAAAAAAATCTGCATGCTTCTAAACATTTAATGCATTTAAGTATTCTCGTTCACCTTTATAATGAAAGGTAGAATGGTTAGTGAAAACTTTACTGAGTAGAAATATACTGTTGTTCAGTACATCTTATGACTCAAATTCTGATTTCTCCTGAATATGAAGAAATATGTACACTCAGGGGATTCAATTTGTACTTAAAAAATAAACATATTTTAATAAAAATATTTAAAATAGCATGCACCCATTACCCAAACTTAGAAACTCTCAAGAGTTTCATCATCTTTGACATTGGAAAATTTCATATATAACTTAGAACTTTCAGGGTTGTGTGTGTTTGTGTGTGTATTAGGGAGTTAACCAACCATTTCACACATTCTGAGCATGCTCTCTGCCATCAGGGTACAGGGTACATGCAGACATTTTTTTAGTTCTAATTCATCTTTAATGTAGCGTTTCACAGAGTTCTATCATTTTAATAAAAGAACATGTATTGTTCATCATCAACTAAACTTCCTTTAGTATGACAGTTTATCTCCCGTGTGGTCATTTATAGCACACTTTCTAGTTTTAGAGCCTATGTTCAATGTTTATATAATTATTTAAAGCATATGAAGACCTCGTAGGTAATTAATGTCCTCCCATCAGATAAGTGAAATGTTAAGTTAACATTTAGCTGCTCTAGGTCTCAGAGTTAGTAAGTGTGAGCATCTCATTTCAGGTTAGGATTCTTTTGACTTCAGCACCTATGTTCTTGTACATAACATCTTGGTTCCTGTAAAACAAAGTTATATGGACATTCTATATATGTATATATGCATATATAGAACGAACATATACATGTATATGTTCACTATAGAGAGAGAGCAAACGAATCACTGAATACTTATGTTAGGGAAGGGTGAACTAGGTTTGTCAGCTCTAGGACTAGGGTTTGCAGGCTTCTCTGGGAGGACAGAAGAGTGCTTCACCACGGAGCTGCATCTGGAGCCCTCGGTTTACACTGCCAGAGGCTCATTATTCAGCACACACAGGCCTCGAACTTATCCTGCCTCATTCTGCCCACTGCTGATACCACATGTGCACCTTCACACCCATCTCAGAAGTTTCACTGTTTGTTTGTAGAGCGTTTACATTGGGGTCTGTACATTATTCAGGATATGATAATTATGTTACTAAAATATGATGTATTTGTTGTTTAACAACCTGTTTGGGGGTTGGTTGTTTTGTATTTTCATACTTAGGGAAAAGTTTTGGAAAAACCATTTCGCAAAAAAAGACTAAACAAGGAAAGACTTTTGGGGTATGTCAATTGTTAAGAGCAGATTCCAAGTGTGAAACAGAAAAACAAGAATATTTCAATAATTTCTGCAGTTGCATAGGTCTAAAACGGAACATCCATTAGATATACTTCTACTCTTAGCTCTTCTTGTTTGTAAAGTTTGTACCATCTACAGCTGTTGAACACAGACAAGGGTTAGCACTCCCCTGGGTGAAGTGTGCATGTAGGTATTCTTGAGAAAGAGGAACTGAACCAGCTTTAAAGGATATGAGGCAGAGAGGAAATGGGGGAGGGAGGGAGGAAACAGCAGAAATAGGACAGTGAATAGCCTGAGAAATAATGTATTTTCATAACTCGAAGAGTGCAACATATTTCATTTGTAGTGTTTTAAGAGCTTCAATTAAAACATAACTTCACAGCCAGACCAAGACACTGAATAACTTTGTTATTTGCAGTACAACTATTTAGCCATGATTATGGCTGACATGTAGGGGTCTACAACCAGATGGCAGAGATTTAACTCTTGGTATTTAACCACTTGTTTTATGTTTTCTGGATCCTTCTCATTGTGAATACATATTCATTTGAGAAAAAGTCTGGTTTAATAAAATTTGTATGTGTATTTCTAACTTAAGTTAGACCTCCTACCCCAGCTCCAGCTCCAGCTCCGAATAGTTGTATGACTTTAAGCATGTTTTTAAAATTCTCTTAATTTCTGTTTTCTTCTTTATCTATAAAATAGGGATAAGAATAGTACCCATTTCATAATGTCGTATGTCCTACAGAGTGCTTAGTGACTGTGCTTAGGAGAAGTACGTAGTAAATGGTACCTGTTATCATCCCAGCTTGCTTCAGTGAGAAATTTCAAGCTATTTTCTCCCTCACTCTATGGCTCTGTCTCTTTCTTTCTGGTTTGTGATTTATCCTAATGACTGCAAAAGAAATTAGCTTTTTCTTTTGGTACTCATTTTCTAATCAGCACCCAGATGAACTCTATGAGAAGACTGAAAATAGATTAGAAGATCTGACCTTCAGTTCAGTCTAAGACTCTGCCCCATAGTTCCCTTAGTTTCTACTGCTTTGGATGATCACTTCAGAGCCTTGGCAGGGGTTCAGTTCTTCCTAGACTAGGGAGAGGCTGGTATTGAGAGAGGGTAGTGACAAGGGAGATCAGCTGAGGTGCCTGCAGGGTTCACACTGGTCTTGAGGACAGGAGCAACCTTTGCTTTGCCATTTTCTTCCTGCTGCTTGGAATCTTTGACCCCATTTCCATCCTCCATCTAATAGGCTTTTGTGGCACTTCTCAAATGACTGCTTTAATACAAATACCAGGTAGGTCAAGTTAATAAATCTTATAATTTTAATAACATTTGATGGCATTGATTTAGAAATAATTCTTAGGGATTATAACTAGTCATGTTAAAGATTAGTGACATTTTCCGTTAGTTACTTTTCTTGTTGCTGCGACATAGTACTTGACAAGAAGTGACTTGAGGAAGGAAAAGTTTACTGTCACGTGGTTTGAGGGTCTAGTCGGTCGCAGCAGGAGAATGAGACAGGTAGTTGGTAGGTAACCACGTCTGCACTCAGGAAGCAGATAGATGAATGCAGACACTCGGTTGGCTTTCTCCTTTGTATGTAGTGCAGAATCCCAGCCCATGGAATAGCAGTCCACATTCAGGATGGGGCTTCCCACTTCATTAACCTAATCTAAATAATCCTTCACAGGCCTGGCCAGAGGCTTATCTCCTAGGTAGTTGTAGATCCTGTCAAGTTGTCCCTCAGTATTAACCATCATATTTGCCTAGAGTGGTGTTGGTCAAATAGGAGTGCAAAGTAGTATTGCTTCTCTAACCCATTTTTATTAAGATCTGAAAACCCAAGAGGTTGAAGAGAAGCCTTCTCACTAGAGCATTTCAGGTTTTCCACTGCTAAATTTTTAGTGAAATGCTCATAAAATGATCTTTTGTCTTGCTGCAGAGATAGCCTGTATTGGGGTTTCCTTGCCCTCCCCTCATTCATTTCAGTAATTGTGACTTGGAATTGCTACTTCCTTCTTCCAACATCTTGGTTCCTACCAGTTTGCACTGGGTTCTGAGAACTGAGTAACTTGGATGAATGAAATGTAAAGGGCCATTGGATTGGGTTTGGGTAACTGCAAGCCTTTTCTATAGTATTCTCCAGGACCTGGGCTTTCTAGTTTTTGTAGCATGATGGCAACCCCCTCTTAAGAGTAGAGTGTCGCAGCTCACTCTTCAGTCCATCTTGGGCTTCTCTCCACAGTGTATCTTCCCTCATCTTTGCCTTTCTCCGTATCGTGAACAACTTCTTTTCTTTATTCCAGCTACTGCTCTCTCTCTTTGAAAGTTAAAGACAACAGAAGTCACTCATAATTCATAGTATAGAATTCGTTCTTTCACTCCATCATTCCATAAATATGACATGATTTCTTGTAAGACATGCCTAGTGTAATGCCTAG